GGCATAGAGAGTATGTGAATATAAAAAAGTGGACACTGAAGTCAACACCAAGGCTGATGATTGGATTTAATGGGAAACACACTGCCATATCTGGGTGTTCACATTTTTTAGATATCATTGAAAACTGCTGGAAAGGAAGAGTTAATTAATCTTTTATTGAGTGTTTTTAGCATTCTAAAAGTTTTTCATTTTTCTGGGGTTAAAGAATATAGAAATTATACATAGTTATAATTGTTTCTGACACTTTTGGTTAGTTCTATAGCCATTATCAAGGATGTTGTTTTTGGATGATGAATTTCTGTGAAGGATTTCTACATAGTAGTTTTGCTGTTTGAATTATGTGCCTTGGGTGTTGTATGCTTTTTGGTGGTCAAGTGCTATGCGTGACTGGTTGACCTGGGAATGACTTCTATTTTTAGAAAACTTTTAGCACACACGTTGACAGCTTAAAAATCTTGTAACACGCCGTTGATGATAGCTAAAAAAAAAAAAAAAAAAGAAAATAGTTGGTGGTTACCAACCAGGATATATGTATGGTAATGTAAAAAAAAACATAAACCAGTTTTTCCTCTCCAATCTATCATATCCCAAATGCCTATACCTGTATAGAAACTATCAAAAACCATCAACCACATAATTTCTCCATACACACCTGACAATTACAGCATATGATCAATTAATGATTTCTTCCACGTCTTGAAAACAGCAAATTCTATTGGAGATTCTATTGCCTTGCTGAACATCGAAAATTTCTTTACAAACATTCCAGTTGAAGAAACAACATAATTAGTGACTGTGCCTAAAAACACCTGACAATACCACCACTAAAAATACCAATTCAACCTGCTATCCTCCAAGAACTACTCCTTGCTTGTACCACAAAAATTCCATTCTATGACCATAATGGTAACATATATATCCAATCTAACAGCGTTAGCATGGGAAATCCTTTAGGTTCTGCTTTCACATGTTCTACATTGAAAACAATGTATTTAAAACAACTAATAAACCTGAATTCCACACAAGGTATGTGGATGAAATTTTCTATTTTGCTAAAAATAAAAGATGAAATCACAAACCTAAAATCAACTTTTGAAAAAAACTCAACATAAAATTTACATTTGAACATATGGTGTATAAGAAGATCTTATTCTTTGATGTCAAGATAGGGTTAAAATCCAATGAATTTACCACTGACCTGTATAAAAATAACCCACTACTATGAACTCTTGTTTTCTAAACAAAGATAGACAATGCCTGGAAAGATATAAAATTGCATTGATAACAAACTTTGTAAATAGAGCATATCAAAATTCCTCTTCCTGAAGAAGATTGCTAAGTGAACTAAAAAACATAAAACAAACACAAGTCAACAATAATTTTCCCAACTACATTATTGATAAGCAAATAAAATTATTCTTACAAAAAATACATGACACCAGTAACAAAAATACAACACCACAAAATATTGATATCTTTTATTGCAACCAGATTCACAATAATTATAAGCAGGATGAATTTTCTATAAGGAAAATCATTAAACACCATATTCCTGCTATAATCCCCAGAAAACAAAGTTCAAATTATAGAAAATAGAAGACTGCAAACCTCATTGTCACCAACCAAAATAACTCCACCAAATCTAAACCTGCAGTAACCAATATAGTGTACCAATTCCAATACCCAATACAAAACTGTTATTGTCAAAAACCAATGACCTGTATCAAACACACCACTACCTCCTTAAGTAGACATCTTACATGCAACCTTTCAAGGCAGAGTGTGATTAATAAACATTTATTAACTCATAATTTACAAGAACCTTTAAGGAAAATTCTAGTTGACAACACAAAGATTCTTTTCAATCACATAGCTTGTACAAAACTCATAATTAGGGCAGCATTGCTTATCAAATATTATTCACCACTTCAACCTTACACTATTTAGCAATGGAGAGAGTGTGTTTTCTAAAAATAGAAGTCATGCCCATGTCAACTGGCCACACATAGCACTTGACTGCCAAAAAGCATACAACACCCACTACACATACTCCAAACAGCAAAACTACTATGTAGAAAATACTCACAGAAATTCACCATCCTAAAACGACAGCCTTGATAATGCTATAGAACTAGTCAAAAGTACTCGGAACAAGTCCTATATTCTTTAAAAATGAAAAATGCTAGAAAAACTCAAAGATTAATTAAATCTTCCTTGCCAGCAGTTTTCAATGAAACATGCTTGAAAGAAACATTGCTGCCCAAATGCACATTAATATATTTTTCTAAAGAATAAATAGATTCAGTTTTAATCTGACATCTTTATTGCTTTAAATGTTATTTTTAGTGGATACTCATATTTGAGTAGATGCTATGGTATTTAAACATTGTGTATTATGTCTCCTGATCTATACACGTGAGAAAATTCAATAAAGAAAATGTGCTGTCCGACAGGGTTCAAATTCACAAATAATCAATCTGTCAGTCCCTAACTTGTTCCTCATCCATGTTCTCCTTCCATCATCAGCAATTTGTTCATTTCTATCAAACCTCCTGACATATGGTACTGCTTTTTGGATCGCAGACACACAACTGTATTTCATTTTTTCTATCTACAGATTCAAATATTATCAGAAAATAAAATATTAATTTCTTCTTGCTTGTTGTTGTTGTTCTGTTTCTCTCTGGCTGAATATCTGGGATAAAGCGTTATCACACTATTTTCTATAGTATTTACATGTGGACTATTGTCCTAATCTTTGTTGTTGTTATCACAACTTTTCAGATGTTGTCACTTCTGGTCTATATCAGGTGCCCAGAAATTGAACTCACAATTACAATGTCACCAAATTCTCAAACCAATGCTTTAATCTATTAGACTATTGTCCTGTGGGACAATTCTCTGTGGAAAACTTGAAGCCTTAAAGCTACCCTGCCTGCTGATGGATGCTGCTACTCATTAGAAATGGTAATAACTGAGCTGTACTAAGAATAAGAACTAGACAAGATATTTGTAGACATGTGTAGTGGAATCAGAAGGTTTTATCTCTGTAGATTAAATAAAGGGTTCAGTTCAGAATTCCCTGTAAGCTACCCAGATTGGTTTATACCTGATGAAGGTCAGAGGGTACTGCAGCTGAAACAAAGAAGAGTCCACATGTAAAAAGTTCTGTTTATTGTTTTATAGCTTCCCTATAAGGGTTCAAATCTCACCAAAGACATTTTTATTTGCAATCCTCCCGCTTTAGTTAACAAAAATAAAAAGAGAGAGAGAGAGAGAGAGAGAGAGAGACATGTGTCAAAAAATAAAGATACAGCCAGTCTACAGGTTATGAATGAGATTCATTCTTGAATGAGTACATATGTCAGTACCTCTAAATATGGCTAACAGGTAAATATTTAATGTCAGTAAAGAGTTTGTTTTTAGTATATATATTAGTATAAAAACCACTGAAACACTTCAAATTATACTAAACACAATAACAATAAAGATGTAAACAATAATGGCTCTCCACATTTTCCTTATAATCTGCAAATTGCCATGTATTCTTGGGAAAGATAATGTAGAGGCTTCCTGTTGCCTTCTTCACAGATTGGAATTCAGAGTTTTCCTTCTCTTATGTTGATTGCCACCTAAGGATAGAGAGCCCAGCCTAATATGCTATTTAATCCATACATTAGAGAGTGAAGGAAATTAGCTATTCTTGCCTTTTCCAACAGTTAACACAACAGACTTTGAACTTGGCTCACCGATTCCATTTTTTGTACAGATAACCATTATGTCACCCACATATCCGAAGTTGGCTTACAGCAATGCATGAAAAGCAAAAAAGAATAGAAAGAAAAAGGTTAACACACTCATTCCATTGATACTTTGTATATGGGAAGGGGCATTTGTAAGGTAACATTATTATTTTATTTGCTGTGTACCTTAATGATGGATCTCCACAACTTCCTGTCTCTTGTAACTCAAAGCACTGTTTGACTCCTTACCATTACTCTTTGTACCTGCTCTGCTATCCATTCTCATAAACTTTTTAGTCACAGTTTCCCTTTTCTCCTCTTGCCTTCCAGATAATGTTTAATACTTGGATAATGCATTTACAGCAGATGGACTTGGTGCTGGAGAGTCAGGAGCTTATGGTGTCTGTTAATAAATAAGATTTGTTAGGCATTCTTATCTGTAGGATTCTTCATTGTAATAAAGATTTGTTGCTTAGAAATTTTTTCTTTTTATAAACTGATGTTCACCCAATAAAAGGCCCAAGAGCAACTGAAGGTAAAAGGTTATTGTGTGGTGTTGTATGAGAGTAAGAAAAAGCAAGAGCTGAGCTTCATGGCATTATGCAGGAAAGATAGCAGTTAACCCTGAACGTCTAGGGTGAAGCCTGGTGGGACCAACAAATATAGCTTGTCAAAACACACACACCATAGAAACAGTGATAAAGTAGTGAAAGGCTCATAACATTTTGTCTGTGAGCAAAGGGTTATAGGGCAGAAAATAATTCATTCGCCACAAGGCCACATAGATGATTGGATAGGTCTAGATTGTAGTGATTGGGAAAACATCCTGTTGGGAGTCTGTTTCACAAAGCAGCAGTTCTTGGGAAGAATCTGTCCAAATTAGACTTCCTCCTTACTAATGGAATATGAAGGGAAATCAGGATGATTCATCCTTGTGTACGTGGCATGGTGGACCAATGAAAATAGCTGATCAGAACAAACATAGAAGAAATAGCAATAAAATAGCAAGAAGCTCATGACATTTTGTCTGTGGGAAAGGGAATATACAATGGAAAATAATTCATTAGCGACAAAGCTGCACCGATGGTCTTGAACTTTATCAAGGGAGGTAAGTGAGGACTGGGAAGCTCAATCCCAAATATGGAAGCAAGACTCCATTGATAATCTATCACCTGCAGTTATAATGGCTAGAGTCACATTTGTGCTTTACATTTTGATGGTAAAATTTATAAATTTATTATCAATCTTCATACTTACTTTGCATCGTTTCTTTCAGTCTTCGTTGTTGGAGAGATGTTAATTTTGATTCTTGCATCATTTCTGAAATGTAATCAACATTAAGTAAGTTCTATTTAATCAATGACAAGTTGCCAGTATCTGTATTCAGACTAATGTCCTCATCTTTGTTTTTATTATCACATTTCAACAATTGTGCCTGCAGCTTCCTTCAGGTATCTGTCAATCTGGATAATTCAGGTGAATTTCAACCAGACATTTAATCTACAAAAGAACATTTTGGCAAACATATGTTGCTACAGACACAAAAGAGGCCCCAAACTGTGTGCAGACATGACTGCCAACACTCGTTACATCCAGGTTTTCCCCCCAGTCAGCAGTGGAACCGCTTGGTATGTCTAGACACAGGCCTCTCTGCAACTAGTCAAGATCTGGGTCATTTTATGCTGCATCATGCAAATAAAAGCAGCAAAAAAAAAAAACAAAAAAAAACAGCAGTTGGCAAGATTCAGTGTATCATGAGATCAGTCCTGTGGGCATTTTGTTCCTAAAGTTGCTGTGCTGCCTGCCCTGGTTTCTGTGGCAGTGTTACTTTTGTAACCTCTTGTTTCTCTGCCTATTAACCCCCATAGTTCTTGGGAGAACAATTAGTTAGGTATTTCCCCTCAACCTCAACACACCCTTGCTGTATATTACTAGTGTTCTTGTTCCACTTTCCATGTCTAGGGATATCTCACCTTTGGTTTTTAGTACTGTTCAGTTATTGCTAGTCCTGTTTCTACAGAATCTAAGTCTGTATTACTTAGCCCAAGGATTGAACTCAGAAATCCACAGAACAAAAACAATCTATCCCTGTAGATTAAATAAAGGGTTCACTTTAAAATTCATGAAAGGATATCCAGATTGAGAGACACCAGAAGAAGGCTGGAGAAGACAATAGCAGAAACATTTTGATAATAACAAAGAGGAGGACATTAATCTAAATGTAAATAATTATGTTTGGTGAAAGAAAAATTGGTCTTTTGTTATATTGCTCATGCTTAAAACATAAGTTAGGGATAATTCAAATAAAAATAAACAAAATCAGAAGATGTTAAATATAAGACTTAAAAAGATAAATAAAAAAAACAAAGAATAAAAATAAAAAAGAAATGAGAGAAAGAAATCATTACTGAGGGACCATTCAAAAGTTCCTTGGAGAGAAAAAAAAAAAAAAAAAAAAAACCCTGGTTTTCTGAAACTTGTGAGGTTAATCCTTGCATCAAGCTGTACAGAAATATACAAGTGTCGTTCAAAAAGATCTAAGCTTCACACAGAAAGAAGAGCCATAGCCAAACATTTTTGTTGTGGCAACATACTAACACTTCTTATAAAACCAGAAAATCTAATTCAGACTTCTGTCTTAGTTTATGTACAGGTGAGGCCTATACAAAGGTGAACAGTATCAAAGAAAGTGTCACTAGTGTTTTACAAACTTTTTTACCCATCAAGATGGGCTTTACATCTGCCATAATGTGATCAGTCTGCTACAGGCAATTGGAATCACCTGTAATATCAGCAAGTGGCACCTCATCATCAACAGCTCATCCAGGAACCTCAAAGTCATGTTGCTTCATAACAGGAACATGTATACATCTCTTCCCCTGGCTCACTCTGTGCAGCTCAAAGAGGAATACAGCAGTCAAGATCTTTCTAGATGCTTTGAAATAGTTGAATAGTACAGTTGGGAGGTTATTGGAGACTTCAAAATATCTGGATGGGTCTCTAAAGCAGCTTTACCAAGTTTCTGTGCTGTCTCTGCCTTTGGGACAGCAGAGACACTGAAGCACACTACCACAGGCAGGACTGACCACAGCAGACAGAGTTCAGTGTGGACAGGAACAACATCAAATGGAAGCCACTGTTGGAACCCCCCATAAAGCATGGTTTCTTCCATTGCACTTAAAATTGGGCCATTTGAAACACTTTGTCACATCCCTATGCTGTCTGTGGCAAAAGTCAAAGCTGATGTCTTTGTTGCACCACAAATAAAGAAGATCATAGAATGCAACGAATTTCCTAAGAAGCTTATAAGGATGGAGAAAGCAGCATGGAAGATGCTTTGTCACAATGGATTGGGGTTACCTGGGCAATGACAAAGCTGAAAACTAAGTGAAGCTTGTTGAGACCCTGTTTAAGAAATACAACAAAATGGGCTACAGGACATCTCTCAAAGTCCATGCCCTTGATGCTCATCTTGATAAATTAAAAAACAAAAAAACAAAAAAAACATGGGGGATGTACTCAGAAGAGCAAGGCAAGCACTTCCAACAGCATATACTGAGCTTTGAATGCTGATACCAATGATTGCATATCGAAGACATGATGGAAGACTATATTTAGGGGTTGATTTGTGAAAGTAATTTACAGTATAAGCGTGAATCACAAAAAAACTACTCCCATCTAAATTTTTTATGGTCTCTCTTGTATAATCCTAGAATAAATAAATACTACTCTTGAATCATGTCATTTTGTTCCTAATTTGCGTGAACCACAATGTTCACATTCACGAGTTTTCAGAAATATCATTATCCTCATCACAAAAGCAAAGTTTGAAGGAAATATTAGCCATTTTTCATATTTTCTAGATGTAAGCATATAGGAAATTGCTACCCAGGGACAAAAATCATGTTACACAGTTTCAAGGGCATTAAATTATTATATATAAAGCACACATGCAGTGTACTCTCTCGCAGACTGACCTGTCAGCTATGAAAACTCAGTGCTATTTCTGCACATATCAATGAGTACACCATGAACAACCCGAATACAATTATCAACATAAGAGAAATATTAGTAGATAATACCAAAATATTCTACATCACCCAATACAAGAAAAGACCCAAAACAAAAAAAATTAAAAAAGCCCACATTAAATATCATAATTAATACATATGTGTGTTTTTATGGGAAAATGAAAATAAATAAAAAAAAAAAAAAAAAAAAAAAAAAAAAAAAAAAGAAAAAAAGTAGTTATTTTTTGTGGGCACAGGAACTCTATATAAATCTCTTATCCTCTCATTTTTTTTAGTAATTATATTCAATATACAAAAAACCTAATCTTGAATGAAGTTGAATCTGTCATTTTAATGAAGCACTGTATAAGTTGGTAATCTTTTTTTAATAAAGCCCCTAAGACGCAAGAAAGTAATGAGTGTGAGGGAATATGAGAAAAAGAAAAAAAATTTAAGAGAGAACAATAAAAGAACAAGAATTAAGAAAATGATTGACATTTAAGTTTTTATTGGAAGTGAGAAATGCAATAGAAGAAAAATATTAGCATACAACTTGTGCAATTTCAACCACAAAATGATGAGACCTAGCTACCAATCTAGTACTGCATTTAAATTTATAAAAGTCTATGTATCAAAAATAAAAGCTCATCAGAACAATTACCATGAAAAATATTTATAGAAAAGGCACAGGGAAACTATGTTATGGTGGTGGGAAACTGACAGAAGCCAAGATGCCAGGTCAAGACTGATAACATTGCTGCTTCTTGTTTGTATTTTATCAAGAATCTCTAAATACATACCAGAAACACCAAACCAGATGTGGCATCAAAATACAATGCATGGCTGAATAGTAAACTTATAAATGTGTAAGTTAAATTCTGCTAAGAATAATTAACAAGCCATTTTTTGTTTCACTTAATAACAGATTTGAAAGTCATCTACCAATTTGACCTTATCGAACTGATCAGACTTACTATTCAGACAGGAGTAAATAATTGTGTCATCATCATAGATAACGACGTGATAAATGATGACATCAGGAAGGTCATTTATGAAAATTAGAAACAACATAGGTCTAAGGATAGAGCCCTTGGCAACACCTGAATTAATGCAAAAAGATCAAGAAGAGTGGCCATTCAAGATAAGTTTCATGAATAAATTCTGGATATATATATATTTTATATTGTTTAATTACAATATGATTAACACTTTCTTGTTAAATCAAATTTCAGAAAAGATTTAAAGAATCTATCAAATAATTAATGGAAAACAAAAGCAAAACATAACAGATGCGGTTATTTTTATTTTATTTGTTTTTTTACACAACTCACAGGAATTTCAATGTGAGCCATGACAATGAAAACGTTAAGAATTTTCTTTTTAGATTTGTTTCTGGGAATATTAAAAGATTGAATTTTTTAAATGAGTATTCAGAATATGAGGATAATAAAAAACAACAAAAAACACATGAGCAACATGGGGGTGACGATTAACAAAAACATAAAAAAAAGTTGTAAATTTGTTAATTCTATATTCAGCTGATAAATGTTTTTTTTTTTTTTTTTTTTTAGGATTTAGAAAACAAAAAATTTAAAAGGAAAATAATTGTGTGTGTAGAATTCAAAATATAAAATAAAAAATCTAATTTTCACTTACAATGTCGACCAGGACGACGAAAAGAACCCCTTCTTCAACTAATTTTTTTTTTTTGGTGGGGAGGAGGGGGTGAAATAGGTGGGTTACCAGTAAGATATCAAAAAATAAATAAATAAAAAGTAAAAATTAAACTTAGTCACAACACATACACAAGTTGAAGTTGATAAATATGAGACATCACTGAGGATCGAACTCACTAATACTCAGTAAATAATTTTACAAGCTCGAGGCTCTCAAATTGTTTCCTTTCTGACTGGGAGGGGGTCTGGCGAAAAAAAAAAAAAAACACTTCCAAGATCTTAATTATTTTATTTTGGTTATTATAATTTGTTTACAATATAAAAATTTACATTTTTCAATTTTGATTTAGTCTTACTCTTAACTTAAATTTTGTCTCTTTAATTAATAATAAATTTTATTAAATTATTTTTAATTTTTTTAACCATGTCACATTAAAAAAAAATAAATAAATAAAAAAATAAATATAAATTTAAATCGTCGAGGACTTCACTTCAACTAACAATAACATTAAGAAAGCTGATTTTCTTTCGTTTGGTTATGATTTAAAAAATCCTATATCAATTAAAGAAGGCCCTTTTTAAATATTAAAATAAATGCCCAACCCCATCGACACCAAAAATAAGTTAAATTTTTTTTTTTACAGTTAAAAGAAGTTGAACATTTTGCCTTTAAAAAAAAAAAAAAAAAAAAAAAATGTTTCAAATCACCGACAGGAAAAGAAATCATTGCAAAAATTTTCTTCACAGCTGATATGAAATTTGAATTTAAATTAAAATAATTTATTTTTAACAGAAATAATTTTTTAGTGACTTGTTCAAATAAGGTAAGGAATTTTTCGTTCATAATTAAAGAAGATAATTCTTGTTTTTTTTTTAAATTATGCACATTTTAATTAACTTTTCAATGCCTTTCAATTATCAACTTTGAATAATAATACTCGTGCAAAAACCCAATAGCCAAACTTTTCACAAGTTTAATTTTTAATAAAAAGAAAAACCATAAGCTTTCTTTACATGAAACATTAAAAAAAAAAAAAAAAAAAAAAACACGTTGAAAAGAAAAACCGACCCCCTTTTTTTGTGAAGAATAAAGCGGAAAGACTGTCGTCCTTTCAAGTTTGAAGATCGACTCGAAGAAAAAAAGAGAAAAGAAAAGAAGAAAACTAAGTAGAAAAAAAAAAAAAAAGAAAGGAGGGGTCACCTTTTAATAATTGCTGGGTTTCTGCACTGTAAGTATTTTTGGCGGTGTCCCAAAAGCCACCCCGGGCCACCCTTCTTGGCCTTCGAGATTCTGTGACGGACATTTTGATGAGGAGCCTCCTGTGAAAACGAGGAAAACAAGCAACAGCAATCATTTGCATTTGTTTACACAATCTTTGTTTCTTAGAAACGAACGATTGTCAAACAGGCAACACGATTATTTACCAAGCCTCATAAAAAAAATATTTTTCAATAAATACACATTTTTTTTTTGTACGACATAATTGTTTTCAAATGGTGACAAATTTATTGAAATATTCGTTATCACACCAAGCCAGGCATCCACCACCACTAGTACGCAAGGGGTTGGGTGGGAGAAATTAGGAACAGTTAATTAAGAAGAGAAAGAGAGAGAGAGAAAAAAAAAAAAAACACAATCAAGAGGACAAGTTGATAGCGATTGACATTTATTTACATTTTTGCAAATTAAAATGTGTTGGAAAATATGGAACCGGGAGGAGAGAGCTCCATAAGCTAAAAGTGCGTGTGGGATAAAAAAAACGAAACAAAAACAATCTGTTAATCTAGAAGTTACACAGCTACATCTGACCAGCTCGACTCTAAAAAAAATTGATGAGATCTCGCCGCCAGTCTTGGTATTATTGCGCTTAAATTCATACAATCTGTTGCGGACCCCCGCAGAGGTGGGAGAGAGAGAGAGAGAATGTGGCCTGTGCGCCTTGATTATGAAATTGATCAAAGGAGGCCTGCAAACATTTAAAAGAAAAAACAAAACCTAGATCTGACGGATCGGCAACAATAACAAGGAGTTTCTGTTTAGTTTACATTTTAATATTGTAAAAAATTATTTACAATAAAATACAATTTACCAACTAAAGAAAAAAAAATGAAAAAAAAGGTCCCATACAGAACAATGTGAACACAAAAAATTCACGTGACAAAATAAATACCATGAAATACGGTTCCTGAAAGAAATTTTATACACACACTACAATGAACGGGTTAATTTGCATTTAATCACTAAAAGCCAATTGGAATGAAAATTTTCCATTATGGTGTGAAATTGCCTGATTATTTCGAAAATAATAAAAGTTTGCGCTCGAATATCGTTTAGGAGTTATCGACAATGTAAGTTCGACCTCTTTCGCGTCGCGCCCATAGAACAGCCACCATTACTGGCTTTGTTTACATACGTTTGTCCCGAGTAATTAATAATGAGTAGAAGCTTCACGCTTGTTGATTACTGCGCTTATGCGCAAAGTTTAAAATGAATGCGCGAAGTTTTAAATGTAACCAAACAGAAAAAGCCTCACTATTCCGAATATATTAGTAAAAATTACGTGCCTGAAAGGATAAAAAAAAAAAAAAAAATTGTTTTCCTTTTTTTTAACGATGTTTTTTTTTTTTTTTTTTTAAAAAAAAGTGTCTTGAAACTTTCCTTAAAATCCGACAATTTTTGTAAGAACTTCCAAAACAATGTTTTTCACCAGAAAAAAAAAAAAAAAATAGCGCACATTCCGTTGTCTTAAAAACTTTTTCCATTGCTTTTCTAAATAATTTTTAGCACCTTTTTTTGTATGACAGACATTAATTTGGAAAATCTTGCAAAAATAAAAATAATTGTTCGATTAATGAAACTTTCAGAAACTATTCACAAATGATGGAAATTATTATATATGTTTCTTTTTTTTAAAATCATGGAAATTTTTTTTTTTCAAACTACACCTTCTCGGCGCGCGCAGAAACTAAAAAATACTGGTTTCAAAATATTTTAATTTTAATTTAAATAAACATTACTTTCTGATTTTATTAAAAATAAGTTTTGAAAAAATTATAATTGATTTTTAAGAGAATTTCAAGAGATTTTCATTTTTTTATAAAATGGAAAGAAAAATGGATTATCTGTCAATTTTGCTGTCTCAAAAAAAATAAGATTTTTAACGAAAATTTCGGACGTGCTAGGAACGATTAAAAAATGTAAAAAACAAAACAAATACCCTCAAAAGTCAAAATACTTTGATCTTTCCTCTTAGTCTTAATAACAAACATTTAGACGATAAAATTTTGTTTTCGCCAAGTTTGGCGTCTTTTTCATCATGCTATGCTTTTTTTTTTTTTTAGCGATCTCATGGTGATCGCTAAATTAAAATGTTTTCAGTTAATCAAAAAAAATTAAACGAAAAGAATCATTAAGACACTATCATTATTCATTTTTTTTATGGGAAAAGAGTTCACCCATGACATTACATTTAATTGGAAAAAGAAATTTATACAAAAAAAAAAAAAAAAAAAATTAATGTTTCATTTTTACAAAAAAAAAAAAAAAAATCGCGCATTAAGCAAAGAATTTTAAATTCAATTTCTCGAAAATTGCGCAGTAATCAAGACGAATAAGAAGATAAGAAGATCAGTAAAAAGGCCGTTAACTAAGTAAGCTCCCGCGCAATATACCTCGAGGCAAACTTATGTAAACAACGCCAGTAATGGCGGTCGGGTTGTAGATGCGACGCGAATAAGGCCAAACTTAGATTGCCGATAACTTACGGTATTGTTATTTTCGAAATCATCAGACAATTTCACACCATAATGGAAAATTTTCATTACAATTGTTTTTTTGGTGTGTGTGTGTGTGTGGGGGGGGGTTATAATGCAAATTAACCCATGAACGTGTGACAAAAAAGATCCTTAGAACCAATCGAAAAGTGAAATATTACACGACGGGATATAATACCGCTCGTAGTCAAAATGTTTATGTGTTAAGTTGACAGTAATAATAAAAGTTCATGTATGGAATATAGTTCAATAGTACAAATTCAGAATTGACCGTTGACAAGCGAGTACATGTATCAAATTGGTACTAGATAAAGTTTATGTACGGAAGAGTACAAAATCGATAGTACTAAATTTGTATTGCTAGAACGATAAACTTACTAAAGAATAAAGATTGATGTAAAATGAAGGACACTGACCGATTTTCATGAGTTAGGACAGGTGATATTTGAATTAAAGTCAGTAGAGTTCTCTGACAAAACAGGAATTGACTGGAAATAAAACAATATAATACTAAGAGACAACTAGTTTAATCTGATGTCGAATGGTTGTTGGTCGTTATTATTACCGAAGTCCCCTTTGAAATAAAATTGGCGGAAATTCGTCGAAAGAATTAATTAGACGTTGAGATGAATTGGACAGAAAACTGTCCGTAGAAATCATTAACCAATATTACGGTGCAAGTTGTTAGACGTCAAGACGAATAGCTGGCCGCAAGAATTAATACATGTTCCGGCAGAAGATGGTTGCCACCATGGCTTTCGATAGGTTTTGAAATAAGAACGCCGGAACGAGTGTAATGCGCATGACCATGACTGTGTGGCCATTGGCTATTTTTAGTCTGTGTAGACACGGCCAAAATAGCCCAAAAACCTTAGTATTCAGGGTATGGCACCAACTAAAACGTCTAGTTGGCAAACAAAAACAAGTGGGCTGTAAATTAATACAGACCCTGTGTCCTGGTTACAGCAAAGATTGTTTCTCCACCATTCGTTCTCTCTAGTATTTACCAACCTCCCCACAAGGCCAGTTTTTAACGTGGGGCATTCCGAGCTCGTAGGCTGGGACAAAAATTGCCCCTCTGTGTTCTTTGCCTGGAGGCAGAAAGTTCAACAAGAGAACGCCCCACCCCCAAACGGGGAAAATCCTAGTACATAAGAGGTTTATTGCAACAGATGTAAGGTTTCATAATTTCTTTATAGCCAATAATTAAACATTGAGTTGATAGTATTTACTGACAATGTTATGTATTATTCAAAAAGGCTTATTTAGATTGTGACTCAATTATCAAGCATCTAAGGAAAAAATGTATTTGATCATTTTAAATTTAAATGAACCCGTTATGTCGTATAGAAGAAAAAGTCGGTGACGTTACGGAGGAAGGGCAAAGTCATAAAATATGAATGGAGTAGCGAGGCGCTACGATGTCTAGGTACCATAACGAAGTGATCATCCGAAAAATTACCATGAAAGTATTTATAAAAAGAAAAAAAATAAGCACACAGAAGCAACCTTACGTCGGTAGGCAAGTGACTGAAGCTGAGCAGTCAAATCGGGACCAATAATATTGTTGATTCTTCTTTGGATCTTATCAATGAGCACCAGGAAAATAGGAGGGGCACCGGGCCATATATGTCAGTAATATTCTAAGCATGGATAAATGGTAGACTTATAGATATGCAAGATAGATTCCAGAGAGAAAAATTTTCTCGCCTGACACAGTGAATCGACTTTCTTAGCAGCTGATCAATGTAGTCTTTCTCAGCTGACATGATTACCTCATGTCAGCTGAGAACGCTAGACCGAGAAAGCGCAACAAGTCACTTTCCTGGAGGTTAGCATCAGCCATGCGGATGGAAGGCAGATAGGGATCTCTCAGATGATTAATGGAGAGAAGTATGCCATCTTTTGCCCCATTTAACAACGGTCTTCAGGTCATTTTAACCTTGCCTGATTGATTACTAAATGATTGTTGTCAGCGTAGATTCCAATTTAAGAGCTGATGTCACCGGAAAAGTTGTTAATGAAGATAAGAAACAGCGTAGGACCAAGGACGCAGCCTTGGGGGACACCGGCGTTAGTGCGAAAGAATGTAGACGAGTGGGCGTTCAGGTCAACTTTCATTTCACAGTTAGATAGGAACGACTGGATCAGCTCAAAAAAGTGTCCTGAGATGTCGTAGCTTTTCAGCTTGTAGAAAAGACCTGAATGCAAGACCGTTTTCATCTAAAGCATGATAGACTCTTTCCGCAATTTATGTCAGTACATCAACAGTTGATCTGAAGAAACGAAAGCTGTGTTACTTGTCTGAGAAAAGGCTAAATGATGAGAGATGATGAACCAATTCAGCGTTGATTAGGCTCTCTTGGAGTTTCCCAAAAAGAGGCAGAAGGCTAACAGGCCGATAGTTGGATGGGTCAGACGGTTCACTCAGTCAGTTAGTTATGTGATACACGCTTAGGCGATCATGTATCTTTCGATACATGACTGACGAGGCAGATTTTTTTCCGCAGTAGGTTGCCATTTTTTCTGC